TTGAACTGTAACTTGTCATGGCTAAACACTACACCAAATAACAAATTAATATCTTCAAGCACGAAGAAAAGAAAGTATGGAAAACTAATTTGCCGGACTGACGGATGAACAAACAGACAGACAGGCAGACAGACAGACAGACAGACAGACAGACATCCCCATATTGCCGAGACTGATCAACGAAAATCTTTATCAGCCCATAAGAATATTGCAGGCAGGTAAACGTGACCTTGCTGTAAACAGACAATTTGACGTCAATAACTCGTCTTACTGTTCTGCCAACAATGATATATACAATGATACAGGTAGACGGGATTTGTTGATGACCATCAGTGACCAGATTAATGTGCAGTGACAACGCCACGTCAATAGAGTTTGATAACGCAACGTCTTTTGCAAGACATGTTTACGGCCGCAACGTCAACTGTTTATCAAATCGCAAAATGCCATGGCAGACAGATTATGCCAAAAATGACTCCCATAAACTAAAATGGCAAAGAATCGACCGCAGAAAAACTTTTAAAGCCTTAAGGTTTAAACTGCATTATCGCTAAAACACACTGTAATGGTTGGGACAAGGGGAAAATCAGAAGGTCCAAAACGGAACTAAAAAATGCCCAACAGAATTAGTTGACCTTTCTGACAATAATTTTGGCGTTAGTTACAGGCAGTTATTTCCTTCGACGGTGACACAACCGTCGATAAGGGGAAACCAGGGTTACATTGCAAACCACATTGTGTTAACATAAAAAATGACGTAATTAATTCAATTTTCGAACTATAATTTTTTTTAGACAATGAAGAAATGAATGAAATTAATGTTCATACATTTGTTTAACAAAAATTGCATATCTAAAAATGAATTAAAAAAAATTAATCTAGTGTTGCGTTTCTAAAGTCGGCCAGTATATAAAGTCAGTACTTTTGCTCTTTAGACATTTTTATCTGTATATATTGCTAGGATTAAGTGCTTGTGCATAATACAATTGACTTCTCGGATGAATTGTTTTTCATTTGTCATTTCGGGGGCTTTTATAGCTGACTATGTGGTATGGGCTTTGCTCATTGTTGACGGTCGTACGGTGACCTATAGTTGTTAATTTCTGTGTCATTTGGTCTCTTGTGGAGAGTGTTGGAGAGTTGTCTCATTGGCAAGCATACCACATCTTCTTTTTTATATTATCCTTCTCAACATACCACTTCCACCTCCTGGATTGTGAGCGGGAGACTAAGACTAACAGAAGGGTTACTTGTATTTGTAAATAGTTAAATAAGTATTATAACCTGTATTTACTTAGTTTACATGAGTTTACCTGTAAAATAAATGCGTGCAAATGAAATAAAAAGCTGAGCGCAAACGTAATGATTTTTGCGCGCAAATGTAATGGTAATGCGCGCAAATGTAATGGTAATGCGTGCAAATATAATGCACCGCCTGTAAGCAATAATGTTGTATTTCTCAAGAGATGTCTTTGTCATAAGAATTTCTATAATGTAAAACTATCAGCAGGGTTGCGGTATAAATAAGATTATATACCTGAATCAAAATATGACTTACAAACTTTTGTGCATTATAAGATATTTGTAATAAACTCTTCGGAAGAATGACTGAACACTAAAAGATTGCTGTTTCCCATTCGTTTATTGTTTTGTACAGATTTTTCTTGGGTTGTGCCGTTGTACCACTGTCCCAGGTTAGGGGAGGGTTGGCGCCAACAAACTAGTGTAACCCCACAAAATTCTGTATGTGCCTGTCCCAAGACTGGAGCCTTCAATTCAGTGGTTGCCGTTTGTTGCTTTATGTCTTATTTATTTTTCGTTTAATTTTTTGTACATAAATCAGGCCATTTGTTTTCCCGTTTGAATTGGTTTACAATTGTCATTTCTGAGTCTTTTAAAGCTAACTTTGCGGTTTGGGTTTTACTCATTGTTGAAGGCCGTACGATGACGATAGTTGTTAATTTCTGTGTCATGTGGTCTCTTGTGGAGAGTTGCCTTATTTGCAATTATACCACATCTTCTTATTTTCACATTGATATTGGTTTTTTTTTTTTTTTTTATTTCATTTAGTGTTGACGAAATGTTAAGTTTTAGAGCTCTATATCACGATTTCCACCCAATCAAATGGTACAAGGTGTTGCTACCATGAAAACAACTGATTTTACTTGATGGGTCAATAATCATGTCAAAACTGTCACGTGCTCTTAACAAAGTTAACATATAGGTAACACAAAAAAAGTTATTTAAAAACCTTTAACGAAGAAATAAACATTTTATAATAAGATTAATTTTAATAATGAAAAAAATATATCTAAACATAATCCTAATAAATTATATATAAAGCAAAATCATAGAAAATATATTACTAGTCAACAAAAGAAACGATACAAGGCAATGTATTTTCCGTATGTAATACAATTAGATACACGGTACCGATGTAAATAGTTGGCCTATTGGTGTATTTTTACAGAGTGTTATTTTCTCATCAAAATAATTGATTTAAGGCAAAAACGCGGAATTTTTTTGGGGAATTTTTGTTATTTCAAAAATCGCATTTTCACCTTAAAATTCATAAATCGATATACGAACTTAAAACTTTTAAACTTAAACATGATCTGCTTAGAATTTTGAATGTCTTTACTGATATTTGAATACTTTAGTCTTATCTTCGAAAATAAGTGCCGACTTTTGTCATCATTTCACGTAAAATAAATTTGACCCCTGTGTTCAAAAACTCGGTATTTCCTAACTTTCCAATTTGGTCAGATTCTTTTAATCATATCCATTTGCTTTGTAAATCAATGTTGTTCATTGGATAGTTTAACAATTTTTCCTATTTATTATATTTTATGATAAATTTTAGTTCAAACTTGTGTATCGTTTCTTTTATTGACTCGTATAGTTAGCAAAATCATAGAAAATATATATTAAGCAAAACCAAAGAAAAATAGTAAATAAAACTATAAAAAATATATATTAAACAAATATCAGAAATACATATACACACTTTTAGTAAACAGTACTGAACTATTCGTGTAATGAATATGATTGTTATTAATTGTATCCATAATTCATCAAGTAATGTATATTCGGTATTCCTGTAATGTAACTCTGATGTTAGAGTGAAAATACCTAATTTATGATGTCAACATTTTCTTATGAAAGTTTAAACCCAATGTATCATAAAAACACAAACATAACAATCCATTCTATTATAAATCACAAACATAATTACAAAAACAAAGAATATTGAATACATACATGTCCATATACCTATATTTGTACACCCCAAACGGTAAATTCATAATAACAAATACATTAGGCAAGCGTCTGAGTAGTCGATACTTAAACAACATTTAAAGTTTGAAGGAGACGCTTACCCCTTTGACGCATCCGTTGTCGCTCCTTGTGGAGGTCGTGCAATTTCCGCAGGTTCTGTTTTTATAACTAGATTTCATTAATGCATATACAAATGCATTAGATTTGAAAATAAGTTTACTAATGTTGTCTCTAATTTATGTATATTCTCCGGCACGTCTTCTAACTGATTTGAAAGACAAGTTTGCTAGTAGACAGATTCTTACCGCCACTGAGTGATTTAAGTTTTATGTACGTTTCCGTACGTGGCTCAATGCAAATTGCTTCATCAGTTCATTCCTAGGTAAAATGGGAAAAAATCAATCAAGGAAAATAATTACAAGTCTTAACTATCTATGTGTTAGATAATAAAACAGTACAAAGGAAGCATATGTTATGTTTTTTCGCAAAGGCATTCATACAGAACAAACTTGAATTTTGGCTCGTAATGCAGTTTTTTCTACCGGAAAATGGAAAATCAGATATGTGACTGATCTTACCTAGTGATTCTTTACAAATAATCAAACGATTGAAAATAAGTTTACATTTGAATCCAATTAATTGTAATAAACCAGATAAAAGTAAAGAAAAAACAACAGACGACCCCGTAATGAAGGGGTCTTTCTTTTCGTTTAAAGTGAGAAATATTAGTTAAGTAATGTGGGAATACAGACCTTAGCAGATGCATAGGGAATGTCGATGCAAACTAAGTTTTTGGGAATACATTGTAAGAAACAAATAATGAAGTTAATTTTATATTACTGTTCAAGATGAAAAAAATCAATGAAATCTGTGCTTGTGCCACCAGCCGCATTCTGTATATCTCCTATAACTGTTCTTTTTGTAGAAATTTTATTTAGCAAATCTCGAATATATACTTCATTGTGTCGGTTAATTTTGTTTTCAAAATTTTGAACAATACTCTTCACCTTTTTACTGTCGATTTTCGTACCTTTTAAAAGATCATCACGTTTGTCTACAACCGATGACACTGGGGAATTTTCTTTTTTCAAATACTGCAGAACTGTATTATATTCATCTCTGAAATCTACCGGTATGTTTTTGAATAATGTTTTGTATTCATTTGCTATCTTTTCTTCAAGATTTGTTTTTATTGCTCCGAGGTTTTCCTTGATCAACTTCTCTGCATATAATAACGATTCCTCAGAATATCCCTTTTGTTTGAGTAGGTTCGTGATATCGTTTTTGCTTTTTCGACTGCTTCCCATCGCATTTTCAAAGTAATCGCCCCAGACGGAAGATTTGAACGTTTGTATTCCATCATCATAAAATTTTTCAAATCCTACGTGACAACGTATACCTTGGCTTTTAAACCATTCTTTACAGGTCGTTATTATATAATCCATACAACCTTTGGCGTATGTTTGAGGATGCTGCCTACACGGAGAAAGTTTTGTATAAAGAAAAACGTCACATCGTTTTTGAGGTGTGCAATCCTTCAAAGTGTCTTTTATGTTAATAAATAAATCTTGTTCTGTATGCCGGACATCTGTTTTCCCGCCTGATATGTCTGTAACGTCTATTTTTTCTTTTGGGATAGGTTTTTTCCCGCTTTGTCTTAGGTCATCGATCTTTGATGATTGTTTGTATATTATGTCGTCAGACTGTTTCACTCCAATTACTGCCGTCTGTCCCGATTTATCAACGTCTTTTAGTAATTGATTATATTGTGTTTTTATCTCTTTTGGTGTAGGCAAATCTGTACTTCCTTCAAATTGATATGCCTTTTTTATTATGTCATTATCAGTCTGGCCTTTTGCAACACTACAAAATCCTCCAATCATACGTCGACACCTCTGCTTCATTGGAAATTTTATTTCATCTAATTGTTTTATTGCTTTTTCAGCTGGTTCAGCTAACTTGTCAAGCAGTTTGCTCATTCTGCTTTTCGTCTTTTTTCCTGTATTTTTCAATGTTCGTTTAATGTTTTCGGGAAAGTTCTTCAAAGTCACTTTGATTTTTTCGCCAATCCTTGATATTATATTCACCTTTTTATTCCATAAATCATTGGACCGTTTTATAAGCTTTGGCACCGATTTAAAATATTTTTTGGAAGTTGTTTTAATTTGTTTCACTACATTAGTTGTAATTGCTTTCAGCCTTTGTGGAATACTCTTTATAATTTTGACGGAATTCGTCAATGATCTTTTCATAGTGGTAAATTTTGCTCTTAATGTTTTTGTAAATCCACGTTTCAATGTAGTTTTAAACATATTTTTGAAAGCTTTAATGGAAGTTTTTATCATTGATTTCATTCCTCTAAAGGCAGCCTTTATTCCGGCCTTAAAACCAGCCTTTATACCAGTTTTGATACCTAAAGCAAGCGCTGATAAGGTACCAGCCGATACTACCGTTATTAAAGCAATTGCAGCATCAATAGCAAAGTCAATAGCAAAACTTTTAAACGTGTCCCATGCCACCTTTGGACAATTTTTAACCGCATAAACTACAGCACGGATTGCTGAATAAAACCAGCTAAAAAACGGAATATAAGACATAACGGTGTTAGCCGTTTCCTCTCCGGCATTGTAACAACGAGAACATCTTAAAAGCTTATCATTTTTTTCAATTTCATCTACCGTATACCACTTCCATTTTTGATTCGAACTTGAACGAACTGGAAGATTGCGTATGTATCTTGAGTCGTATGTCATAACTCTTCCCTGAGAAGTAGGCGAGGAATACAGAAAATCCGATGATTGTTGCCAAAACTGTCGTCTCTCAAACGCATACGTATCTTCAAGAATCAGAATACCAGTAGAACTGATACTTAAACTTTTCACAGTTTTTATATTGATGATATGCTCGTTTTCTTTCATCCATCCCTTTGACTCAAGAGGTCCACTATCTAACATTCGGACACCAACATAACTGCTCTCGGTTGAGGAAAGGAGTGGACACTCACCATATTCACTTCGTATATAGTACACATCAGTACTTGTTGGTTTTGAGACACATTGCAGTGTATGAGGTTTCTCTATTCCTTCTTCTCTATCAACAAATTTCCACTTTTTATATATGGAACCGTTCTTTTGATACATTTTTACATCACCATTTGATACCGAAAATCCAATTACGACGTGTTGAGAATAAAATAAAGTCAAAAAAGTATATTCATGGTTCCACATTTGGTCTGTTGATCCGACATTTTTATGCTGCAAACTAAGGTTTGATCCTTTTTTACTACCAATGGCAGTTAAAGCCAGACCTGAATCGGCGTTCAATAAATGGTTTCCATCCCAGTACCATAATTGTGCATTGATGTTATCTGGATCGACAGGTCGGAGTCTTACTTGGTTGTTAAGTCCAAAGCCAGTCAAAAGTTCACAAGGAGTGACAAGTGTTTGAATAAAAAACATGCATGTGATCTCGTTGAAAAATTCGTAATGTTTGTCCATCAATATATATTGCTATTTACTATGAGATTCAACATTGCAACTACTTTTAATTGTCATAAGTTTCTCCTCATTATTTGGTACAATTTGACAACTATTTCGAAAGTTGCTTTTAATATCTGAATTCATTTTAAAATCCCACATCTGGAGAGTAGAAAAAGAATAATAATGCCACATATTTACAGAGTAAGCACCGTTGACCTCATCAATATCCATCATGAGACTAAGGCCATTTTCAACATTAATAATATGATTTTCCTGAAAATACCACAATTGACCGTGAATTCTGTTTTCATCATATAACCGAAATTCTGGAGAGTTTCCGAGACTACCACTGGTAAGAATCAAACACGGATGTTCTGTGTTTTTGATAAAAAACGTTGAGTTTATCTCACGGTTATCATTACAAATATCATCTGTATTAAATCCGTCTAAAGTTTTACTCATTTCTTGAAAAATCCACTTATGAGGCATGCTGGTAATATTATGTCCTACAAAGGCCTTTCCATCTAGATGAGGGTTAAAATAAACAGATATTACTCCTTCAGATGTAAACGTTTCAAGCCGGTATCCTACAAAATTCCAAGACTGCCATGAATTTTCCTCAGCATCACCAAGAACCAATGCCGTATGATTGGATGTTAAGCGCAATCCACTTTTCATATGAATTATGTGTGAACCTTCCCAGTAAAAAAGTTGATTTGGCACCAGTTCATGCACTATTGGACGTACTTTAAGACTATTGCCATAGATATTCGCATGGTTTTTCCTTCGTTCTTATAAAATATACACACATTATTCTGCTGACATCACTCAAGGCAATGTCATAATCGATAAATGCCCATTTAAAACCTGCATAGTTCGAACTACACATAGGTATCGGTTTATCTTCAATAGAGTTGTGGGTAATAAGCCCGCATAGTTGTTGATCCTTTAATCCACTAACAATATTTTCCCCGGAAAGATAAAATTGTCTATTTGGCAAGTAGTATGATTTTGTCTCCTGTAAAACAATTTCCCCTGTTATAGCATCGAGATGTAAGGACAATCCTGTTTCTACATTTACTAAGTATGCAAATTTCCACTGCCATAATTGCAAGTTTATTTTTGTTTCATCGAATTGTTCAAATACTGGAGACTGTCCCTTACTAGTAGCCGTAAGCACTTTGCAGTCTACTGAATTTACTTTAATAAAAACATTGCTACTTTCATTGCCCATGCAGGTTAATGTTTCAATGTTGTCTAAAGCATATTTTGATTCTAAAAATCGCCAATATTGATTGCTTGATCTATCCAGGTATTGAGTGACAGTCAATGACCCATCCTGATCGTGTACGGTTAATACACCCTTTGTTTTGTATTCATAGGATACCATACGCTCTTCAAGTGACCATGTAGTGTTTGGAGGAACATTAGGAAATAATTTAACTTTTGTGCTTGTGTCATTCTCTACGAATACTCCGAGATATCTTCCAGAATCCAAATGCACAATTTGATTGTTAAGTGTATACCATAGTTGAAACATAAACAATTCTTCAGATGCAGGTCGCATGACAACATCGCTCGAATTCTTATTTCCAGTAAGGAGTTCACAAGGTTCTTTCTCCGATTGAATGAAGTATGTACAAAGAACGTAACCAAGGAAATCAAAATTAGTATCGTATGGAGTGAGTTCCCATATACTTGTATTGGTCCTATTTATACTACAATCTAAATCAACGATATGGGATTCGTTTTGTACGTTCAAGAAACAAGAAGTGTTATGAAGAGACGTTTGTAGTATATTTTGATTTTCAATCGTCCAATTCTGATAAAGAATATTTGATTTATTGGAAAGAAACATTGTCGAACCTGAATTCATATCTTTAGAAGACAAAAACAAACCAGTGTCATAATTAATTATTGCATCAGAATTATATAACCAAAGCTGTCTAGAAAGCTTTTTCTCGTCATAAATTAGAAATTCTAGCGCACTATTTTCAGGATTTTGCTCTAAAACTTTGCAGGGTACTGTTTTACTTCTGATAAAAAATAAATTGCTTCGACAGGAAATGGAACCGGGGGTTTCAAGAGAAGCATTCAATTCAATTGGAGTCCAGCCCTGAATACTTTTTGGTAATGCATTTCCAGAATTTAGATTAACCAGTTCACTTCCACTGTAATACCACATTTGATTTAAAAATAAATCAGTTGACGGCATATCTATTTCTATATCATTTTTTCCTTCGATTTCGGTTAACATACCACATGATTTTGAGTCCTTTATAGTTCTGGAATCGAAATTATAGTCATTTGATGTTTGCTTAAGGTAAAAAAGGCAACGGACTTCATAAAAAAAATCCAGACTGCTGTCATATCTGACAATAGACCATTGCTTTTCAACCTTGCCAACACACGACGATTGAAATGCCTTGTCAAAGGTTATATAACATATCGGACTGCTCAGAGATTCTATGTTTCCATTTTCTAAATGCCATTTTTGCGACTTGTCGTCAGTTAGTTTTATTTCTGAACTGTCATCAGATTTGTAAAATCCTTGGTCAGATTCCAGATTTAATATAGAACCATCTTTATCGTACCAGGTACACTTTTGCGGATACTTATCGTCAAAGTAATCAAAAGTGAGTGTGGTAACGCTGTTTTTAAATAAAGATGTAGGATTGATTACTGATAAACAAATGGCAGTCATAACTAGACCTGCTGCTACCCCAATGCTGAACGCATAAACACTTTTCTCAAATTTGTAATAAACTATAACGGCACTTAGAATTCCGATTGCAATGAATCCTGCTGAATCCAGTTTGCACTAGAAGTGACAGTAATGTGGAATCGCTGATTGTGCACAAAACTTTACATGGCATATTAGTATTTTTAATTACAAAGTAACTTTTGTTCGTTATACAATTTGTTACTTCGTCCAATTCAGTATTGACCATATTCCATTGCTGGTAGCTTGAGTTATCTTGGTGTTCAACAGCAAGGATCGATCCAGAAGTAAGTACAACATTACCATATATATCTACAGCGTGCAAATAACCATTTTGGTATTTCCATTTCTGATTTATATCCCCGTCGTGTGGCAAGGCTCGAATGGAGCTACCAGCAGTTGCTGACGACAGATATTCATGATTATGTGCGTTTCGTATATATTGTCCATCCCAGTACCATATCTGGCTTTCAATATTCTCTTTATTTACATTCTGAACAACTAGATTTGCGGTTTCTGTGTTTTCAGTTAGAACAAGGCATGACTCATTGCTTTGGATAAAGTAAAAGCAAACCAATTCGTTAAAATTTTCTTCTGAAGATTCATATGGTATGAAATACCAGATTTGATTTGCACCTTCACAACTTGTAACAAGAGTTACTCTGTTAGAATCGTATTTTACCTCTATAACACAATTGTTCGTTAAATTATCAGACCTTAAATTATATCCATTGGTGAATAGTTTTAATGCCGGTACAGATTTTGAAAGTGCGATGTT